TCAGATTACACATAGAGTACTGTATCTTGTTTTAGGCACACAATGCACAAAAGATACACATAAGCTGGAGAAAACTCAGCATAACGTGCATAAACTGCAGATTTAAGGAGGAATCACTTCACAATCATTTTGCCTACTTTTTTCACAGTTCATTTGCATGTTTTCCTAAATAAATCTCCTAGATACCTCAGCATTTCCATTCTTCACACTATTGTTGCTCCTTACTGAATCTGTTTCTTGATATCACTATAGGGGAATGACTATCACCAAATACAGAAATCTTACTATAGGATTATTTCTGTAATCATAATCCTGGTGATACTGTTTAAAGTCACCAAAGGAAACAAAAGTTTTATTTATTTATTTATTTTTACTATAACTTATAAACTTATAAAACTGCACATAAGTTAAAAATTTCCATTACATTGCATCTGATTAATGTTACAAGCTGTTTTAAAATTATTCCATTTCTTTTTTTTTTAATGTTAATAACTTCTTCAGGAAGAAACTAAGAATGTACTTCAGAAAGCCTTTAATATGCTGATTTGAAAATGATAGTGGCTTTTAACATAAGAATACCCATTCAGTTCAAAAATACTTCAGAGTAACAATAGGCCTTATTCTAAGAAAAAAGAGAAAAAAAAAATCACTGCGTGAGTGGAAGAAAAAAAACAAAAGTATTTTAAATATCCTCCATGATCTTCCAACTAACATTTTCAAGTACTTTATTATACAATAAAGTCTTTCTGAAGCCTGCTCTGAGAAGCACTGCTGGACACTAATCTCAATTAATTCAAATGCAAATAAACTGTGAACTTCACCCTACTTCAAGCAATCAGCACAAGTATTGCCAGATCTCCCCTCATTTAACTCTTTACAACTTGTTACTTTCTTGAGATTTGCACAATTCAGCAAAGGAGAAAAGTGATTCACCACAATTTCATTTATAAAATGTTATTTTCATCATGTAAATATCCGCATAAACATTGCTATCAAATAAACCCTGCTATCAAATCAAGCTAAAAATAGGTAGCAAATACATAACTTCAAGTAGTTTCCACACAAGTGGGCAAGGAGTTATTCGTGGCTAGATAACAACAGTTCAGTTGACTTCAACTGATTTCATTACATCTCTCAAGGCAGTACACTCAGCCCGAATAACCAGAGATATTAATGACACGGAGGAAACGGGAGATAACAGCAAATAGGGAGCAGTTTCACTGCTCTTCTGCCACTACAAGTGCACAGAAATTTCTTTATCTGCACTGACCCACCCTTACTGTGCCGGTAAAACCAGAGCAGAACAAATGAAAACATACGTTGATAAATGTAAGAGCTGGAAGAAGTGCTACTTTTAGGAAACAAGACTTTGTAACCAGAGGTTACTCAATTAACCCCAAACCCAAAGAATTTGTAAAATAGCATAGAGGAGAGCTAGGTCACAGATTTGATTCCTTTGAAGGTACGACTGCATTCCCTGCTTATTAGCAATCTTTGATTTTAATGAGGTTGTTCAAGGGAATTTCACTCAGCACTGTTTTCAAAGGCACCATACAACCACAACTGACATTCAATGCCCAGCCTTCTCAATATCTGTTTATACTGAAGTTTCAGTGTACTGTTGTACTAATGTAAAAAGAACGTTCTTTGTCTTTTCTGTCTATCAAGAGGAAGGAAAAGCACACAGTATTAAATATGTATAATATCTCACGTAAACAAGTTGCCAGACTTTTGATTTCTTGACAGCTATTCCCTACACATTGGAAAATAAGTAAATAAATAAATAAAGCTTGAACTATAAAACAGGTTTAAACAGATTTGCAAATAAACTTCCTAATCTATTTACTTTGCTTTAAAGTTATGTAACATTCTAGGTCAAGCTACACTGAATAATTAACAATTATTTCACTATGCTAACTTAGAAAAAAAGAAAAACAAAGAGTGGCATTTGATTCAAAGTTGCAACTCGCTCTTCAAATTTTTAATATCCCGTATTATTCCACAGAACTTGTCAGTCTGGAGAAAAATATTAAGAATTGGCCACCTAAGTTTCAGTTTACCTTTCACTTTAGAAATTTCTAAGCTAAATTCAGAACTGTCATGAGATAAACTCGTACTGGAGCTCCACCTTCTTGCTTAGCTTTGTACAGCCTTGCTTTCATTAGAACTTTATATTCTCTAGAAATCAAGGAAGAGTGACGCAAAACTTCTAAATTTTTATAGAAAATAACAGTCTAGAACTGCATACATTTATTCCAAGAAAATTTGTTTTTCAAATAATTTTAGTGAAATAATTTATATTATGGCATATTTTTCTTTATCTAGTGTTGAATATCCTTGCTTTTTAAAATATATACTGAAGAGTATTGAGAAAACTCTCACAAAAAAAAAAAAAATTAAAAAAAAACACAATGACAAACTGGCTTATTATATCTAGAACACATCTAGAACCAAACACAGTAACATTAGCTTAGGGTTGCTTTTTCCTAAGTACCATTTCTCAGCCCCACTGATGACTCACTAGCCTAAAAGTTTTAAAATGTGTTGGTGCAATCAATAAACATATGCCAGCACACGCACATACCCATGTGCTGGTCAATGTATGCAAGATCTATTAAAGCAGCACTAATGCAGTGGGTTTCCCTGAATACTGATTTTATGCCAACAGTCCTCCCTGAGTTTGCAGCATTTTTGCAGACAACTATTTAGCTGTGTCATTAGTGTTCTGTTGTATTCAACTTTTGACTATTAAGGGTCTTGGAACTTCACATTTCCTTCCAAGTATACAGATATACTTGAAAAGGATTACTGCTGAAGACAGTAGTCTAAACTGTCTAAACACTTTTGACAACACATGAGCAGAATTGTTATGAACCACAATGTAAAAATTCTACTTGATGTAAAAGCATATTTAGAAAAACACTTTGTTGAAGTACAGTAGTGCCATTTTATTTCCTCTAGAGCCTACTTATCATTCCAAACCTCTCTAGTTTAAACTTGATTTATAAAATAAAACAGTCAAGTGGAAACCAAGACAAAACATCGCCCAGAAGATACAAAAATGCGAGACAGAAATTAAGGTACAGAATTAATATTTCAGCTTCAAAGTTTATTATCTGATTGATGCTGGTAAAATGACTGATCTCAGCAAGATCAATGACTTTCACTCATGTAACGATGGATGTAGTCGCTTTGCAGTTAACAGGACTGTTTGTATGAATAAAGACTACTCAAGTGAACAAGGATTTGCAGATTCAGTTCATGAACATGTCAATGACAGATGAAAACACCTGTCTTAGTTATTTGGTAGACTGTTAATGAGAATTTACAGTAAGTGCAAGTGCTGTGCAAGAAAAAATTTTCCCTATCTTTTTGAAAGAGGAAAATGAAGCTGTTTCATAATTAGTGAGAGAAAAAAAAAAAAAAGAAAGTAAGTAAATTATCTGCATTTCCTAATACTATTTAAATGCAACAAAAGTCTTACCAGCCTATATTCACCTCAATTTTCTTGCTTTCAACTTCACTCCTCAGTATTTCTATGCTGCTACCAGATTGTTGTCTTTGTATTCTGGCTGATAAAAACATCCAGTACAAAGACCTTAACATTAAATAAGTGCTACAGGACCATAAATAAATAAATAAAATACCATAATAACATGAAACAAATCTGCTATGATCAGCTTCATACTGCCAACAGAAGTTTCTCCATGCTTACAGTTACGACAGCTGCTAGTTCTTGAACAAGACAACCAGGTAAAGAAAAAGTGTGTTTTAGAGGTTTCCAATCCAAAGAAAATTTTCCAGAGCTACAAGAGTATAAAGCAATACATCATGCTACAAAACGCAGGGTGAGGGCCTCATTTGCTTGTCTGTTCCATTCAGTCATCACAGTTGCACTGCTACAGGCAGCAGATTCATTCTGGAATCAACCTTTACCTCAGAGAGAAGTCCCTGCATGGTGCTCTGCCCTGAGTGTGCAGAAATCCCTGCATAGTGTTCCATGTGTGCAGAACTCCCTGCACGGTGCCTTGCTCTGCCTGTGCAGAACTCCAGCAACTCCCAGAAGCAGTAGAAAAACCTTCTGTGAAACACAGCGCCCTACCAAGCTTATAAAAGGTTAAACACTTCTGGAATAACAAGACATTTCAAATAGCAAGGCATTTCATCTGCCCACACTTTCCAGTTCCATTCAGCTACCAACAGCAGCAGTGCTGTAGTGCAATATACTTCTGCATTATTAAATCTGAGTTACGCATTTACACCTAGCTACAGTCTGGAGGAAGGCCTGACATTTGTCAATCAATAGCAGAGGAAACAACTCACAACTTTCATGGGTTCACACACACTACATTGCACACACTGACCTTGGAGTCAGCAGTCGGGCTGATCCCTTTCAGAAATACGCTATTTCACAAGTTTCCAGCGTTACAGCCTATAATTGTTAATCACATATAGAGGTCCAGCTGTCCTTCTGTATTACACACACACAACAAGCACGCAGATGAACACGCAGCAGCATGAGGCCATGCTTTTAAATCCTCTTTAATTCCTACTTTGCTCTCTACTTCCAAGGATGACCTCATATATCCCTTCTGGATCCAGACAGATCATTTAGAGCTTTTCTTGTTCTCCCAAACCGATGTTTACTCAAAACAGTTTCCATAATGTCTCTTGATAGCCCATTAAAATATTGAAGATGTTTAAAATAAAATAATCACATACATTTAAACATCCCTGTAAAAAACAAGTTTTCTAAGAAAAAAAAAAAAGAAAAAAGCCTCTAACTTCTTGTTCCGACTCCATCTTTTGTATCCAGAATCCCTTTTGCCAATGCATGCCTCTTTCCCAAGTGTTGCCCCTTCACTGATCAAAGGACAAACAAGCTCCCAACTTTGCTCAGCATATTATTACCAGCTTCTCCATCCCTTGTCACCCCAGTACTACTTGGAGATAGATATCAACCAAAGGAAGAAATAAATAAATAAATAAACGCTGCTTACCTTACCCAAGAGTCACTAAAGTCCTCGAGGAAAAAAAAAATAAAACAAAAAAAAAAAAAAACCCAAAAACAAAACAAAACAAAAAAACAAACCCAAAACGAAACGCCAGGTCCTCGAGCACAAAAATCGCGAACACCGGGCGATACTTCTCCGTTCCGCAAAACCAGGCGCAAAACCGAACAACCCGCGCAGCGACGCGCGGAGAAACCCGCCGGCCCCAGGGGCGCCGCGGGAGGCGCGCGGGGCGCCCGCCCTTCAGCACCGCCGAGCCGCGGACAGCACCACCGGTCGCCTGAGCCGCCGAGCCCGACTGCCGCCCGCAGCCGCCGCCGCTCCGCCCGGCCCGCCTCCGACCCGCCCCCGCCGCGGCCGCCCCGCCGCCCAACTTGCGCGCAACTCCCTCCCGCCCCCTTTTATTATCATTAGCGCCTCCTGCGGAGGGGGAGCCCTCGGCTCAGCTCCCCCGCTTCTTGTCTGTCGGAGGGCCGTCGTCCCGGGGGAGTTCGCCCGTCCCCCTCTCCCCTCCCTTTCCACCGGCCACCCCCACCTCGGGAGCGAAGACCCGAGCCCTCAGCCTAGACTACAGCCAGCAAGAAGCGCAACTGCTGTGAAGCAGAGAGTGGCTCCCGACACAAACGTGCTCAGAGGATTAGCGTGCTTCCATGTTCAAAGCAGGGGAACGCCGTGCAATATTTATAAGCTTTAATATACCAACCTGCTAGCAAAACTCTGAGGTTTTTCAGAGGTTCGGCCTCACCCATCTCAGTAATCCCTGCCATTCTTATCAAGATTTACTGCTTAAGTTTTGAGGTAAAGCTCCTCACTGGTAACCTATCTTAGAAGTATTCACTTGCCACTCTGAGTATTCTTTACAAAACATACCCTGAGATGAGACCACCAGTCTGTGCGTAGGATGGAGGCAGGCACCGCCATATGAACAGAAGCCAGCACTACCCCCACCCGAGAAAAAAGATTAACAAAAAAATAAAAATTAAAGACAAAAGAAAGCAAATAGCCTGAGAACCAGAAATATTCTTATGCAAAATCAAGCCAAGAAATAATAGTTTTAAGTCTCAGTTGAACCTCTTTTTTTCATTGTGAGATAATAAGTTCAGTTACCTGATTTATTACTTTCAGATAATTTTATCATTCATTCCAACACTTTCAAAGAGTGGCTACTTAATCTTCCATGTGAAATCATTATGAAAATTATCTACTCTTCGAGGCATTACAGGTTACCTGCTTCCAGTCTTTTGGGAAAATGTGCTACAGATTAAAGTATTCAACTGCCTTTAAATCATCCATGGCCAGAGTAAGATGCACAGAGGTCAGCTCTTCTGATCTACAGTAGCAGGTTACTTTAATTACACCTGCATCTATAGCAACTCTTCGTGGAATAAAATTGTAGGGACAAAAAAAACAAGGTAAAAATCCAGTACTTAAAGAACTGAAATAGTTAATGCGAGAAATAATAAAATGGGATACATTGGATTTAATTTGCTGATTGCTATTTTGTAAGGTTTTTTTTTTTTTTTTTTTAAACAGGACTGCTAATTAGGTCAAGGCACTACAAGAAGAAACAATTAACTTTTACACTATTATATATCACATGTACAATATAAAGCCAAATCAAACAGACTTTCATTGATACAACCTGTTATAATTGCCAGTTACCACAAGGCCTGTTTGGCTGGCAGTTAACATTACGTGTATCGCTGCGGTTCTGTTTCTCTCCTCATTTATTCTAAAGCCCTCTCAGGTTGCTTGGAAAGTACCAACAGAGTAACATTTCATTACTTAATGACAGTTTTGAAGGTATAGAACTGAAGTTGAGTCAATTTAACTTCCTACTAGGATAGCTGGACCAGAAGTTCTCTTGAAAGACAAGCAAACCCATAAATGACTGGTTTCAAATTCAATGGAAAATAAAGTCTTCTGAAGGCAAACATGGACCTTGCCCACCCACTTTTCTTTGCTATTATGAAAGTACATGAAACAAAACAACGGAACAGAAGAAGTGTTTTGTACAATCCAGTTCATGAAGTAACTGAAATCCATCAAATTACGCAAGGTCTGACACACTGGCTTTCCAAATTGGTAGGGAAGGCTCTGGGAAGAATTCTCAAAGTCTTGTGAGGGAAGAGTTTGACTCTTTAATTTAAATACAAATAAGGATATAGCGTAATATAAAACTTGATTTTTTTTTTTTTTTTTTTTTTTTTAAGTTGAGATCCAATCATGCTCATCTTTCTTCTTTGGACGCTTGCTTTGACGTCTAGTTTATGAAAAATTAATTTAATTAAAATATTTTGATGTCTTTGATGCAGTAAATGCAGAATATTTTGATAGAATATGCATTTTCTAATGTTTCCTCTATTTTAGCTCCGAATACGTAGCTGTCACAGACAGTTGATATAAAATAAATCTTTTTTATACTCATCCAACAGTTTTCTGGCTTCTACTCAATATAGTATAAAGCATACCTTTTTGTGAATTAAATTTTGTGTGGCTTGCCCTACTTTTCTGCAAAATAAGTAAATAAATAATCAGTGAGTGAACTTGAACTATTTTGTGACCTAGAAATTTCATCATTCCTGGTTTTGGCCAAAACCTTTCAGTCCACAGAATACTACAGCAGACTACTGCTTCCCTTTACTGCAATACAGACCAAAGTACAACAATTCAGTAAAGAAGATAACGTGTTTAACAATTAACTGTTATTTGGGAAAGACTGGTGTTTCTTAATAACATGGCCCTAATTTCCATAACTTCAATTTGGATAGTTAGAACAAGCTGTTAGTTACATTAAGTTCTCTCTTTCTTTTTTTTAATTCAAAATCAAACAGTCAGAACTAAGGTTTCCTTGCAGAGGTGAGCAATACAAAGGAACTTCAAAGTTATTTTACGCCTATTAAGACTATCGTTATTAATAATAAAGATCTTCCTGATCTGTATTTGTGAGGTAGTTTAAAACAAGATCCAATACAGCAGGAAAGCGTATGCAGGACAAGGAGAAGATCAAAGTCTCAATATATTAAGGGCAAGTCACTGCAAATAATAGTTGTTTAGTGAGCTATTCAGTATTTGTCCAAAACATTTGCTCTCATAATTTAAAACCTATCCCTTATCCACTGAATTTAGAATAACAGTGGCTTTCTTAGTCTGAATAATTTGGATCTGCTTTTCTGCCACAAGTAACCATTTCTCCAGAACTATTTACCTCCCAAACAGCCTTGAATGTGAAACGAATGCAGAATTAGAAAGTAAACACATTGTGTCAGAAGTGGCTATTTCTCTCCTCCTGGCTTTTCTAGCGCTATCACTTCTAAACCTATTTAAAATCATTTTTATGTGCTTGGATTTTTGTATTAGCAATTTGTAAAGAGGGAAAAAAATAAAATAAAATAAAAAAAAAAGATAGGAAATTTAAGAGAGTTTCACCATTACTACTCACTCTTTAAATTATTCCACCGACTTCCCCATAGCTTGGTACCACGCAGCACCTATGCAACAACATACTATTTTCTGGTGGTATATCTTCAAGCATTCAAAGGGAGAAAAGGGATCACCTGATTTGCATTATCAAATTAGCAGACAATCCATGCTCCTGAAATCTGATACTGCCAAGGATCGATTAATTTGTTGTCCTGGCTAAGCTGACAGAGTAGAACACAAGACTAAAAATAACCTGACTGCACACATAAAAGTAGTTTAATTTATATTTCTTTTTGAAACATTATTCCTTTTATTTTATTTTTACTAGAAGAAGACAGCTGTCCCTTCAGTGGCAGCTGTTACTAGTGAAGGCCATTGATTAGCTTGAAGTAAATGACAGCAAGAGAACTCTCAGCCTGCTCTGATATGGGATGGCATGAATTAGCTTCCCAGTCTTACTCTCTCTCACACGCATGCACAGCAAGAGCTTTGGAAACAACCATGTTTTCCTCAACTTCTGCTGGTCTAATACACTCAGTGTATAATCTTTTAATGAATTTGAGAAGTGATAACACATGCAATAGAAACACGGTGCTGATCAAAAAGCATGATGAAGTGTGCTAGATCTGGCCTGCTGCTTTTATAACAGCAGGGCATCATGAACACCAGAATGGCAGACACTGGCAAATGGCACAGAAGAAAATTAGCTTGCTTGTGGCTTGGAGAGAGGTTGTGCCAGCCATCTGGCACAGGAGATCGGCCACATGGCATGAAAATCATCAAGGCACATTAAGGTTACCCTACATCCCCTCAAAGCCTGTTCTCACGAAGGGTCTCAATTCTTTAAATAAAGGCAATATGCAACATTCCAGTGATGACAATATACTTATCTTTGAAATGTATTAAAGTAATTCACAAGACAACAGATGTAAAATCAAGAGGTGGGAGGGAGAGGGGGAAGCCTAGATTTTGAGGTTAGATACATAAATTTCTCCATTATTTCTAATTCAGTAAATGCTATAGGTTCATTTAGATATGCAGCAACTTTGCTATGATAATGATTCTGACAAGACAACGTTGTTTCCATTCTCCTTGTGTGATTATAAAAAAAGCAACTGATTAAAAAATAACAAGGTAACTCACTACAGAATTCATATGCACATTAGAAGACACTATTGAAAATTAAGTGAGAAATGAGGACACATTTAATTTCTTACCATCCAGCCTTTTTCATTTGTAATCAAGTAATTTCAATATTCTGGAATTTGAAATCTGTAACACCGTTTCACAGAAAATAATGGATTCTTTTAAACAAATACAGAGCAAGCTGAAGATTTCAGCTTGAAGGTTTCAGTCCTTCACGGTGATGTTTATAAGAGATCTCTTAGGGCATCTATTGGGGAATCTTAGAATTGCACTCTAAGCACAGGGTAAGAAAGAACTATTTCTTCTGCTAGTAGATTTAACAAGAAATATTAATTCTAACATTTTCCTCTTCCAAGTGGTCTTCATTTTATTGAGCAGAGAGTTCAATAAAAGCCAAATAAGAAAGGCATTTTAGCACTGATCTTGAAATCTTCACAGATGAAAGTATTCACTAGTGGAATTAAAGAACTAACATTCTACATTTGATCATTTGCCATCTCACCGAATCTTGAGTATTTACATTTGTTCTGAACTAAACATGTCATGTTTTAGATAAATACTAGATTGATTTCTCCTTTTACATAAAAAGTTCACTGAAA